TAGGGGAACCGTTCCTGCAGTTAGTCCCAACATATCTAGCAAATACTTCACATTTCTGATTTTTGAACAGTTTATAGTTGGAGTCAAATGACTCATCAGAAGAATGAGGAGATCCACATGTAAAGCCAGATAAGTTGGATGGATCAACTGGAGGTCCCTTTGCAGCAACCCATGAGGTTTTGGGGTACTGCTCAGGCTTCCAATATGTTCCATCAGCATTGAGTTTCCTCTCAAAGGCAATACCCTCTTTCCTAGGGTTTCTGTTGAGGATCTGCCTTTTGAGAACATCACAAAGAATCTGATGCCCTTTGAGGCTTTTGTACATGCCTGTAGTGTACAGTTCCTTCAGCCCTGCATCGTCAGTGATACTAGCATTGTCCTCAGATGAGGAATTAGTGATAGCAGAGGCAGGTGAAGAATTTGTAACAGTTGAAGCATTTGAACATTCAGGTGAAGAATTAGCAGATTCATGTTCAATGCACTTTAAGCATGGAGGAATAAATTCTTCCTGAGAAGCGCTGACTTGTTGAGCAAGTAATGAATCGCGCTCCTTCTGAAGATCTTCATAACTCACTCTTAGCTTCTCAAGATCTTGCTTTCTTTGAAGAAATTCATAAGAAAGTTTCTCATGATCAGATAAGAGAGTGTTATGATGACTTTGAAGGTTATCAAGCCTAGACTGAAGTCTTTGAAGATTTTCAGTCAGGGCTTTAGTGCGATCCATTTCTTCACCCAGCATATCATCACTTTTGGCTAGCATGTTTTGAACCTTTTCCAAGGCATGTTGTTGTTTGGTGGCAATGCAAACAAGTTTGGTATAGCAAGGTTCAATATCATCATCAGATTCATCATCATCAGATTCACAGTCACTAAATTCAGATGAGGAACATTCGGTTACCTCGTCACCCTTTGCCATGAGACATGATGCAGACGATGATGATTCTGGCTCGAAAGTCATCGTTTTGAGAGATTCCTTGAAGTCCTCAAACTAGGGATCATGACGGGTTTGATGACCTTCATAGACATCAGAGATTCGGTCCCAGATAAGCTTTGCATTGCAAAGATGCATAATGTTCCTGATTTGATCTCTGGATAGGCAGGAACAGATGATATCCTTCGCCATGCAGTCAAGTTGAGTGTATTTGCGAATATCATATGCATTCGCCGACTTGCATAGATCAGTAAGACCAATCTCAGTGACGGTCCACAGCTCGCTGTCCCTTGCCATGAGGCGCTTCCTCATCATGGCCTTCCACTTGGGATAATCACGACCATTAAAGATAGGGCGTGTCACTTTCTTCATACCTGCGGTCGACATAACTAAACTCCAGGCGGTTAAACCAAAATCACACAGAACAAGGGAGTACCTTGCTCTGATACCAATTGAAAGTGCGTTATGTCGACTAGAGGGGGGTGAATAGGCGATTTTTACGAATTCTTCACTGAGGAATTTGCCGGTGAGGAAATTCCTTAGCTAAGAACTATTATCAGCGGAATAAGTACTCAGAAGTAAGCATAACAGAGTGCACGCACAGTCATCATGATGAAATGAAGACTAGCACAGAGTACAGAAAGCGTAATCACAGGATAACACAAGATGAAGACAAACAGACTGAAGAAATTGAACTGAGGAAATTGAGAAAGTCTTCAGTCAAAATCTTCAAACACAGATATGAAGAAACACTCAACACAGTAATGAGGAAATGAAAGGGTTGAGGAAATAGAACCAGTTAGGTTGGTGAAGACAATGATTTGGTAGACCAGTTCCAACTAGCGTCTCAATTGTACGTCTGGTTGGAGCGGCTGAGTATTTAAACTCGAGGACACGCAGTCTCGGACACCCAGTCGCTGAGCACACAGCTCAGGACACCCAGTCCTCACCGTATTCTCCTTGAACTAAGGTCACGCAGACCTCGTCCAATCACTCGTGGTAAGTCTTCAGGCGACTTCCAAACCTTCACAGACTTGGTCACTCGGCGATCCACAATTCCTCTTGGATGCTCTAGACCTTGACGCCTAACCGTCTGGAAGAAGCACAGTCTTCAAAGGTAACAAGCGTCGGATCCACGCGGATCAATTTCTTCAGTGATGCTCAATCACTTTGGGTTTTGTAGGTGTTTGGGTTTGGGATTTTCCTCACTTGATGATTTTCGCTCAAAGTCCTCGGAGGATGGGTTGCTCTCAAATGACAAGTGTCAAGTTCTCTCGGAGCAGCCAACCAGCTAGTGGTTGTAGGGGGCGGCTATTTATAGCCTAGGGAGCAGCCCGACATGATAAGACATAAATGCCCCTCAATGATATGACCGTTAGATGGATAAGATATTTTGGGACAGCTGGCGCGCAGCACAGCAACGGTCAGAAATTTGACTCTCAAATTCCTCAGGGCTATCATGTTCCTCACTGTGTAGGTAATTCACACTGACGAATTCCTAACTCCTCAGTCAGAACAAATTCATCAGCGATCAGAAGAACTTCGTCTCTGTCACTGAAGAAAGTGACTGAACTGTATGAGATTTCCAAAGGCTTCACTCGAAGGGATTGGTAGGTGTAGGATTTTGAGTTGAGCATCACATGAAAATTTTTCCTTAGTATTTCCTCGACCCCCTTTAACAGTACGGTGTTTCCTATGACTCAAGAAGGAGAAAATGAAACTACGAAAACAAAAGTCTTCACGCTTCATGTTCCTCAAATGAATACCAAGTCTTCAAGGTCACACCAATTTCTTCACTTTCAAAGTCTTCAGAAAGTCTTCAGAATATCAAAGTCTTCAGATGAAGAACTTCATTTTTAGGGGTCGACTTTCTCTGTAAATATCAAACTCTTCATAGACTTATAGACCTGTGTACACTCACAAACGCATTAGTCCCTTAACCTATAAGTCTTCAATACACCAAAATCACTAAGGGGCACTAGATACACTTACAGTAGTACTGCATGCAAAAGAAAAATGAAAAGCTACTATTTCATTGATTGCACGTAATGCACTAATAAAATTGGCTTGCCATAAATGGGCCTAGGTGTCCAGGCACCTAGGTGCCCCAAACATTTTACCTATACGGCGGTCATGGGCCGGCCTAGCTCGCTCGCCCCTGCAGCGAATCTGAAGTTAGACTCGCTGGACGCGAGATATATAGGGGGAGCTCCTATACGGCGGTCAAGTGCGGGTTCAGTTTTTCTCAAAAGAAAAAAAAAGGTGCGGGTTCAGTGAACTGGCGCCCGCTAGCTCACCTTGTAGACCGGCCCAGGAACACGCACGAGATTTGTAGCGCAAAAAACCTCCAAAAGTTGCCACGCTGAGAATTCGAGACATTTCTAGCAGGGCCAGTCTTCCAAATAGAAGGTAATAGGTATGGGCCAGCCAATTAAGTACTTTCTCGCGTTACTTTCTCTTGCCAGATTTTGCTGTCTCTTTTTCCTTTTTTATAGGGGACTTTTTTTTCATTTTAAATTTCATGTTTTTATTTTCCAAATTTGTTAACTTTTTCCGAATTTGAGATTTTTTTTTCAAAGTCAAGTACTTTAGCAAACTCAACTTTTTTGAAGTTCGTGAACTTTTTTCAAATTCATGAACTTTTTTTATCAACTTGTGAACTTTTTTAAAATCCATGAAGTTTTCCCCTGAAATACATGACCTTTTTTTCAATTCAACAACTTTTTGTCTAAATTTGTGAACTTTTTAATATCCTAATTTTATTTTCAAATATAAGATATTTTTTAAAATTCCTAAACTTTTGATTATTTAATCTGTGTTTTTTTAATTTCATGAACTTTTTTTAAACATGTGATTTCTAAATTTTTGAACTTTTTTTGTGCTTATGAACATTTTTGAAAAGGCAACAGTTAATGGTGAACTCAACGGTTAACGGGTCAAGTTAAAGTTCAACATGTCTAGTCATTGGTCAACAGGTTCATTCAAACAGATCAAACCATGGTTTTTCTTCGAGAAAGGCTCAAACAGATCAAACCATGATCAAATCAATGCAGTAATTCAGGCGCCAGTTTGCTCCATTGCGGCTTAAGGCGCCATGTAGGAGCTCTCATCTTGCAAGCCCCCTGCAGATTGTAATGCTTGAATGTTGGCTGCTAAAGGTATCTTAGTTGACAGGACTACATTTCCACGGGGCAACAGTACACCAAAGGTAAAAATAATCAAATTCTACATAATCAAAAAGTTAAGGCGCACATTTAGAAGCTAAATAGTACTCCCTCCGTTTGAAATTACTCGTCCAAAAAATAAATGTATCTAGATGTATTTTAATTGTAAATACACCTATTTTTGTAACAAGTACTCCCTCCGTCCGGCAATACTTGTCAGAGAAATGAATGTATCTAGATGTATTTTGATTCTAGATACATCCATTTTCATCCATTTATGCGACAAGTAATTCCGGACGGAAGGAGTAATTCCAAACAAAGGGAGTACTATATCAACTCTACATGCTGGGTCAGTTACGTGTATTTTTTGCCGTGTGATAGAAACATGCATGCAACTGGAGTTCCCGTTCCATGGTGTTCTACACATCCCATGCATGCATATAGGGGATGCACGACGACAATACTCAACCATAGTTATCCAGATGTCCGCTCGCGGCCGAAGATGACGGGATCCACCTACTACCACGCTCGCCAGCGCCAGCACCGTTCCATTTCTCCACCTACACGCCCTCTTGTACGCATGCACTCGTGTCTCTCTTGCGAACCTGGCAAGCTGCAAGCTTTTTTTTTTAAAACGAAGACGCAAGAAGCGTCCGGCAAGCTGCAAGCTGGCAAAGCTACCAGCCAAGTCACACCAATCAAGCTCGCGACGTGTGCACGCTGCATGCAGCAATGCCGCCACGTCGCCTTCACGTCGCCACGTCCCCGCCGAGCTCCCACGCATAAATATTGCCGTGTTATAAGCTAGGGCAGTCAAACACGGAGACCGCTGTCAAACACAGTCTATCTATCGATCTCATCTCATACTCACACTCCTCAACGTGTTATAAGCTAGGGCAGCAGCCATGGGTGTCAAGGGTGGTGGTGTCGTGTGGTGTCTCCTCGTCGCCGGGCTCCTTCTCCTGGCCGTGGCCTCCGCGGCGGAGCGGGACACGGAGGAGGAGATCCGGTGGTGCAAGGAGGACTGCGAATGGAAGGCGGGGGAGGACACCGGGAAGGCCAGGGAGTGCAAGGAGCACTGCGAGCGCCGCCGCCGCCACGGCCACGAGCCGCAGGACGAAGACGGCGGCATCCCTGACCGCTGCAAGAGGGAGTGCGAGAGCCATGAGGACATGGATAGCAAGCTGCGGTGCACGCTGGAATGCTGGCGACAGCAAAAGCGGGAGGGCGATGACGGCTTCGACGAGGGCCGCAACACCGACGGCAGGTGCGAGAGGATGTGCCGGCACTACCACGACCGGCGGGAGAAGAAGCAGTGCATGAAAGGCTGCAGATATGGGGAGTCCGACCTCCTCGGCTCCGACGACGACGGCCACGAACACGGAGACCGCTGTCAAACACAGTGTAAGCGCTTCCGGCCCGGGTCATACGACAGGCAGCAGTGCGTCGAGAAGTGCCAGTGCCAGCAGAAGGAGGACGTGGAGGCGATGAACCACCACGGTGGCGGCGGCCATGGCCACGGAGACCGCTGCCAAACGCGGTGCAAGCGCTTCCCGCGCGGGTCGTACGACAGATGGCAGTGCACTGAGAGGTGCCAGAGCCATCAGCAGGACGACGAGGAGGTGATGAACCACCACGGCGGCGGTGGCCATGGCCACGGCGACCGCTGCCAGGCACAGTGCAAGCGCTTCCCGCGCGGGTCGTACGACAGATGGCAGTGCACGGAGAGGTGCCAGAGCCATCAGCAGGACGACGAGGAGGTGATGAACCACCACGGCGGCGGCGGCCACGGCCACGGCGGCAGCAGCTGCGAGCAGAAATGCCAGCAGCGATACCGCCACGAGTACGAGAAGGAGCAGTGCGTGCGAGACTGCAAAAGCGGCGGTGGCGGCGGCCCCGGCGGGCGTGGCCGCGAGGGCGACGAGCGCCGGCACGACACGGCGATGGTGGTCGAAGCCATCCTCGAGGAGGTGTAACCGCTGGATGGAAGTAGCCAGCTCTTTCCAGGATCCTCGACCTCTTTACCGGTCCTGCATCTTGCTATGCGTACGTGGTAGGTGCATGTGTGACCTAGAATAAATCGCGGTAACTAGAAGTGGTTCTCCAGCCTTGGAGAGAGCCGATGTACGAGGAATCAATCTGGAAAGTTATGTGCTATATATAACGACACTATGAAAACTAAGATGATGAGAGATAAATAAAATACGCAACGTCTCGAAATTAAGCCCCCAAATATCTGAATCTATAAAGGAGAACTTACCTGAGTGAATTTTTCTCAACTCAAGATATATGTAGCCATGTGGTTGAATTTTTCTTTCACAATCACTTAAGAATACATTTTCCTCCCAAGTATTATAAACTGGACTCATGTGTACGTACGATCAATTCTCTGGGTTTCATGGTACTGTTAGCGCCAACTATACAAAATCATGGCAAAAAATATTGGGGGTAAAATAGCCAAACACATTTGCCATGTGCTAGTACCATCACCCAGCGATGGTTGTGATTGATCAATGCTTGCATATCAATATTTTTGGCATTGCTAAATATGTGTACACGCATGAGGCCGTCATGACATGGCTCATGCGTCGTCGGGTCTCGAGTGTGCCTCAATTTGGGCACGTCATATGCAGGGGCGGACCTATGTAGAGGTGAGTGGGGGCCCAGGCCCCCACTCAAAATTTGAAATTCCAGTGAGTTTTGCTTGTGATTTTTGAAAAATATACTTGAATTCTTTGAATTTTTATAAAACATGCCCCCACTCAGGTAGTTTGCCCCCAGTCAAAATACTCTCTAGGTCCGCCACTGGTCATATGCTCGGCCCAGCCATCTTATGAAGTGCTCGCAATTCATGATGTGGGACTAAAATGTTGACCTGCGTTCTCCGTCCTCCTTTATTGTTAAACTGAATTAGAGCATCTCAAGCAGCTTCCAAAAACCCTTGCTCTACATGTAGGCTCTCTCTATAAATTTCTTGGATTTTCCCAATACAATTTCCCTTATACTTTTTTTAAGGACATTTTTCCTTAAACTTACCCTGACAAATGCACCCCATGTCAGTGACTAATCTCTTTCTCTCTCTTGTGCATGGAAGACACGGACGAATCTCCGGCAACCGACGACACGGTAGGGTGAGGCCTGACGCAGAAGGTGCGGCAGCGATGAGGCAATGGTGGTCCCTCATTATTATTTTTCTGAAGAGGCCAAACCATTGCCAGAGCAGTTTTTAGATAATGGAAGCTCTTATTACATGCGACCTCTGCATCATAGACCCATGCAACCAAACTTGTTACCGAGTTTACTACATTATCAAGAAAAACAATCTCGATTAAAAAAATAAGAGATCATAAGAGTTTTTATTGCTAGGGGCTTGGATTGACAAAGTACAACCAGAATCGAGCGTGTTGTTCCCAGGCAAGGCATCGGCGGGGTGATGAGACCCGACTACACGGCGACTCATTCGTAGGCCCGAACGGTACTCGACGAACAAGAAATAACACCCACGAACAAACAAGAGTAGTAGCAGATATAGTCTACGAAGTAGCAGATCGGTTCTTCGGATCAAGCAATATGCAAGAAGACCAAAGAATAAACTTGCAAACAGGAACGATAGGAACGAACCGGACACGCAGCAGAAACTAAATCCCTCAAGCATCATCAAAATGTTGTACTAATCAATTGATACTTCTTTCGCTGCAACATAGCCATAAGTTTTCTTTAACTTTGCGCAATATTAGAAACCAAACTTTGGCCAATACATCTCGATTAGTACAACATTTGTTAGTCCAATAAAAAATATAATCTGTGATGAAAGCAGTCAATATGATTAATCAAGTAATGGCATTTTGATGATGGATTCAATATGTAATATTAAACATCTATACTGACCAAAATTAAAGAAAATAAACCACGCAACCACAATAATAATATCTATTTTTGACCAGACAAACAATATTAGAGGCTAATGGCAAGTTAGATATCGAGATTGACCAAGAGTCATGTTGCGAAAATATACTGCAATGATTATACTCCCTCCTTCTATCTATATAGGGCCTAATGCATTTTTCGAGGCTAACTTTGACCAAATATTAGAGCAATAATATATGACATGCAACTTACACAAAGCACACCATTAAATTCGTCTGTGAAAGGAGCTTTCAGCGATATAATTTTCACATTGTGCATGTCATGTACTATTAATCTTGTCAATAGTTAAAGGTGGTCTTAAAAAACGCATTAGGCCCTATATAGATGAAAGGAGGGAGTACATAAAAACTACAATATCAGCAAACCAAAGCATAAAATGTACTCACACCAAAACGATCGTATAAGATTGGATTAGGAGACACTCTTCAAGTAATGCGACAACGACTATTCCCAAAATAACATATTGATCCAAGTGAGCAGAAATGTTGGATGGACAACTATAAGCCCATTAAATTAAGTTAACCCCAACAATGTTCAGATTCTATTACTTGTTAGTTCTCCGTTAGGTATGCAGATTCTATTATTTGTTAGTTCTTAGTTACATATGCAGAGGAGAAAACACACAATCACACTATACTCGATAGATCCAGAACTATTGCTAAAAAACCACTCAAAGGCCATGGAACCAGTAAAAGTAAAACATAAAAGTATACATGAAACAAAGGAAAGGGAAAGTATTTCATATTCACTACTTAGCACGGCAACATTCCCGATGAGCAGGCATGAATATATGCACAAACAGGGAAAGGTACTAAGTTGCTACTCATCAGGAGCTAAGATTGCTAGAGGGAGAAGACTCAAGTTAATTGTGACTATTCTTACGTTCCTTCAACACCATATCAGATATGATAAAAGAACACCATATCAGATAAAACCAGACTAATAAATTCCGGCAACAAATTGATTGTGACCATTCAGGTTTAGGTAATTGAAATAAGTCAATCTAGTAATTTGTCTTGTACAAATGCATATCGATTTTCTGTATACAAATGGACTTGCAACTTGTAGCATGACACCATGACTCCTAATAAAAGTTAAAAAAAAATGTTTTGTAAACATCATGCAAACTTGTTACTTTAAAGTATGCAAAATAATCCTATACGACCGGGTCGTACGTGTGACCCGGCCGCATGGGGAGGCTGGCAGGTGGGCCACCCTCACGAGGCCCTCTCTCACAAGCGGGTCGTACAGGATTCGCCTCCCTAAAGTATGGACTTGGATAATTATCAAAATCAACCGTTATAACAATATGTGGTGAAGAAAAAATATAATCGGCGTTAAGCTTCAAATGTGCCGATTTTTCATCAATATGCAAACCTTGCGTATCTTTTCATTGATAGGAGAAAACATAATGAGTACAATCGAGGATACAACACATGACATGAACGCAAGAAGGCATGAGCATGAAACCTAGAGGAGAGAGACAAGGGAGGCTCAACCCGAACAGGGGAAAGACACAACTGAACCCACCAAGTCTAAAACTAGATAGGCATGCCGAACCAACATGATGTCGAACTTCTCCAAAGTCAACGCGGGGATGCCACGAGCGAGCAAGATAGCGCCTTCAAGAAGGGGAGATGTTATGACGCAGTCGCCTCTCATTTGAAGAATGAGACCTAGGGTTAGCTCACGGCCAAAGATGATGGGATCCATCCACTAAGAGCATCTACAACCGGGTGTCTTAAACCATATCTCATCTCTCGTACTCGCGCGAACGCGTCCAACCATTGACCGGACAGAAAAGAGAAGGAAAAATATGACCCAATCGAATCCCTCACATTCCTTATATCCATCTCAAATGTAGGAAGGATATGAGGGCTCCAGCTCCCATACGGGGCGCCTCTAGTCAGTCCGCCACGTTGGACACGGCCGCACCCGGACCACCTTTTCTCTTTCTCCTTTTTCTCTCTTTTTATCTCCATCAATCACATGCAAGTGATCAGACATATGAGAAAGAAAATGAGAAGTATGGATGTGCGGACGGGCAAATAGGAGCTTAAAACGGACACGCCTGATCAAGACGCGTCCACGAGCATTCAAGAGGTCATATTTGCTATGTCGGACGGTAGATGCTCTAACACACTCGCCGGTACCCTTAAAAAAAACACACACACACTCGCCAGCACCCGCCCAAAGTCCATTTCCCACTATACGCCCTCTTGTATAGCACTCGTGTCTCCCTTGTGAACCTGCCGAGTGGCAAGCTGGCAAAGCTACCCGAAAATCCTAC